TTTTCCCCTCCGCAGCTCAGCCGGCGCTCGGCGGCTCCTCGCGGTGCCATCACCAGCGCCCCGGGGTTGCTCCGAGCCCTTTCAAACTCAGTGCAGGGATGGGGCACCCCCGGGAGCAAATCCGGCCTTCCCTGCGAGTCACGCTGAACAAAAGGAGGTGCTCTGAGCTCCAGCGGGAAAATGCATTTTGAAACCCATCTAATTGCTCTCTGCGCCCAACGGCCACAATCACCCTGACCCGGGGTGGGGGCTGAGGGGGTCCCCAGCTCCGCCGTGGGGTTTTATCCATGTAGGGGGCTGGAAAGCAGCTCCGGTGACCCAAGGGATGGTGACCGATCCTGATTGTGCTTGTCCCAGCGCTCTGCCCTCTCTGGGGTTTGATGCCATCTTGAATTGAATGCAATGGAAACGCCTCGATGGAGTGAATTGCCATCCCACAGCGGAGGCGGCCAACGGAAGCGTGATGCCACACGTCAGGATCCGGCTGACCGCCTCCCATGGTGGATTTGGCTCCCGGAGGGCGGCCATCATCCCAGTGCCACCCTGTGCAGCTCCTCAAATCATCCCATCCTGTCTGGAGCGGGCAACCAGCATCACGAGCGGTGCCGGTGCTCTGCGGCACACGGGGACCGTCGGCTCGGCGAGTGCGGCGTGTTCACGGGTGCGTTTGTCACCAACGAACGACTCGCAGGTCCCACGGGTGTCTGAAGACTTTTACACCCGCTCCTGTGACAACTGACATCGAAATGTCTCATCACGGAAGAAGGTGATGAGGAAAGTTGGTTCTCTCCCTGCTGGCCTGGTCCCTTCGCAGGGACACGCTGGAACCTTCCTCGCCCTCCCGAAAGATGTTTCAAATCCTCCCGCAGAAGAGCAGGGAGGCAGAAAAATCCTCATCGGCACCTTTAATAGGATTTTTTTTCCCCAAACGGAACTTTTCCTTCATCGCAAACCTCCCACTCACAGGAACTCACCCCCAAAAAAAATGTTGTTTTCCTTTTTTCTTAACAAAATAACATGAAATAGTGATCGAGTTGATTACAATTTGTCATTTCAGATCACTACAGCCTCAGAGATGGGTCATTTGGGGCTGGAGGGGCCATCCCCAGCAGCACCCGGACTCCTTTTGGATGCCCCCCCGGGTCTGCGCACACCCTGTCACCGGCACGGGGACAGTTTGGGGATGGCATGGAGGAGGGACGATCCGCTGGGTACGAGCGGAGGGACTTCTCACCGGTTTCTATCGTTTGACCACAAAGCAATTTTATGGGAATAAAATACCGGATGGTTCACGGGCGGAGCAGCAACCTGGCAAAGGGAGGGATGCTCTTAACGAAGGAACCTGCTAATTGCACATAGCAGTGGGCTGTGATGAGCAAACCGGGATTCATCGAGCTGCTCCCGCCATCCAGGAGGGGAAATCCAATCTCTACATGAAAGAAGACATCATTTGGAAAGCGCTGTGACAGGTCGCTGAGGAAGGCACGCATCTTCGCTTCCCTTTTTTCCCCTCCAATCTAATCAGCTTTAATTGGGAGAATAAATGAGACCTTTCCTTCAAGATAATTATACAAAACATTGAATTAAATTACTGTTAGGATTATTCTTTTTCCCCCTCATCACTCGTGTCAGGCATCTGTGGTTTTAAATAATCATCTGACGAACATTTGCCGTGCGGCTTTCCCCGCCTGTGGCAACACACACCTCCCTTCCAGGGGGACTGGAAGCCACCGCTTAATAAAGTGGAGAAAAAGGGCCGTTCTCCCCAAAATGCCTCATCACACACACCAAGACTCCATCGTCGGGGCTCTACGGAACGCTCCCGTACCCACCATCGCGGCCTCTGGGCTGGCGTGGCTCGGCACGGGGAGAGCCGGCGCTGCCTCCGCCGCGCTGACATCGCCACACAGTGTAT